TCGTTCGCTTGGCGTGTGTGAATCATAGACGAGTTTCGGTTTAAGTATGTCTTTGCTAAGCCCCTGTGCAGTCGTAAAATCAACTATTAATCACAATTACAATTAGTCGAACATTGTAATGGCTCTAAGTTACGAGTATATGCCTTCCTTCACGTACTAACTCATGTTGCTTAATATGGTTGAAAATGTCGGTAAGCTTGCGAAATTATCATAAATTAATATTGATTTGTGGGATCAATCAAAAGAGGAATTAGCAAACAAAGAGCTTTGAATAAAATCTACATATATCGATCTGTACGATTTAGGTAACTAGTAGGGGCAAACAAAGTTGGTTGAAATCATTATTTGTTCTAGTTATTTTTGGATGAAGAGCATATGGTTGGTTTAGATTGACCGATCAATAATGATCTTAAATCTGTTTCAAGTTTAGTCTTTGGGAGGATCACCTAACCCAGCTGAACTTAGAAAAAAGAAACCTTTAAAATTAGCAACCAGCCAGCTTATTTGCGGTGCAAGCTATTTTTTCCATCATTGCCAACGATTCTCCAAATAAATAGAAATTTTCGAAATATTGTACGAGTATTGGGCTTTCGATTAGTTCACTAATTTTATTCAAAAACGGCTAGGAGAGTACATTTTTTACGGAAACGAATAACTTTTTTTTTAACGCCTTCAATTCTCATATAAAAATGTAGGAGTACCGTTAATTTCTTTGTGATACAATTAACGGATGTAAACCAAATTAGTATGGGACCACTTCTTAGGTACCACCTTTCTTTAAAAACAATTATAGAAATCGGTTAACGTGGTCCAAATTTATGCGGTAACATACATTAAAAAGTAAAAAATTCCGACGAATTTATATATTAATGAAAAACAGCTTCTCGTAAAAATACAATCGCAGTGCGATAACGTCAAGGCGCACTCCACAAATCGGAAGAGAAGCTCGGCGAGACCAACATATCTATCTATTATCATTATTATCATAATCCATAGGTCCGCACAATCATTGTATTTTTACGCGCTTGACTGCATACGTACATAACTATATAGTACATTAGACCGTACCACCTCACAATCAAGCAAAAAATAAAAATAAATCGCCGCACTCCCGCTGGTGTAAAGAATTTTTGTAAGGCAATTTCTCTCTGATGAAGCGGCTTTTGGAGTTTTCGAGAGAAAGATTCTGCGCAAGATTTACGGGCCTTTGCGCGTTGGCGATGGCGAATACCGCAGACGATTTAACGATGCGCTGTATAAGCTTTACAACGATATAGACATAGTGCAGCGAATCAAAATTCAGCGGCTCCGCTGGCTAGGTCATATCGTTCGAATGGACAGAAATGCTGCAGCTCTGAAAGCATTAAACGCGAGTCGCAATGCTGGAAACAGAGAGGAAGAGGGAGGCCTCCTCTGCGTTGGAAAGACCAGGTGGAGAAGGACTTGACTTCACTAGACATTTCCAATTAACATCAATTGGCACAGAAGAGATACGACTGGCGTGCGGTTTTGGACTCGCCTAAAATTGCTTAGGCGGTTACAGCGCCAATAAAGAACAAAAATAAGACTTTCGAAAATAAACAAATTTTTTGCCTGTGAAACCTACATTCGGCAGTAAATATTCTTTTTAAATACTCGGACTTATACTGGAATAATCGAAATACTGCCTTAGCAAAAGTTTAATGATTTTTGATGGAATTTAATTTAACAATTTTGGGCGAGGTATTAGAATGGCGTTCTTGAGGCCAATGAACTTTGGAACAAAAAAGTGCCTCCTCGAGAGTAGAACATCGAATACCATACTTTGAGATCCAACTCTAAATGCCGAAGATACGACGAAAAATGTAAGAGAACGTCCTCTATGAACGGCCAAAAAAATACATATGTATGTGTGTTGCCAGTAGGAGCTTCGTTTTGTCCTCGTTAGCGGTTTTCGACCAACCACTTTTACCTACTGCTCTACGCTGGAGATTGCTATAGCACTTACTACATAGCCTGCTGTTGTACCGCTGCGGCCGATATCAATGTTACCTGCATATGCTAAGCTACAGTCTTTCGGGACAGGACGCATCGATAGGACATTATACGCAACTTTTATGCATTATACGCAGAGTAAATTCTCTCTCGCCTAAATATATACAACATTTACAGAGAAACAAAACTTCTACTTCATACCACTGATTTTAAATTCCAACTATTCAACTTTCATTTTGCATACTTTTAGGCACATTTGTTATTGTATTTTTATGAGAAGCTGTTTTTCATACACTCCGAGGTTTACCCATTGCATACCCAGGGGCGACCGCCATTCGAAAAAACGTTTTCTTTCGTTTTGTTTTGATGCTAGTCGGAAATTTGGCTCGATCCTAGTCCCTGCAGAATGGTACTGCGCATTTCTAACCACTAATGACCAAAGCTTATAATGCCACTAGGGTATTCATTTCCTCCAAAGACCAATACTCGAAGCTTTTAGATTGTTTAGATGCCTAAAAGTAGGTTTCAGCTATAACAGTAAATCCAGATTTTTTTTACCTACTGTTTTATACACATTTTATTTTAGGCTCATAACTAATATGAGACGTATTATGTGTATTATGTTGGGTCGGGAAAAAAGTTTGAAAGTCCACTTTTAGAGAACTATGCCATTGAAAACAGCAAAAAGAGGTTTTTTTCATAAAGCTTTTGTTTTATCCGATTTTAAAGTACGAAATATTGGTTTACTTATTAGATTTACTTATCTTTTGAATACAGTTTATATGTATGTACATAACTTGAGGATCGTACTGACTTTTAGCTGGGTCATTAGTCAACAAAATTATGTTTCGACTGCCGGTATCGATCCAAAATTTTAATGGTTGAAAAGCTCTCATGATGTAAGCTTTTGAGACCGAGCTAGTATTATGCGTATACACCAACGTAAAATGAAGTCTAAGAATGCAATAAATAGACTATGTAAATTACAAATTTAGTAGAGCAAAATGCTTCTACTTGTACTTCCTTTACATGGTGTTTCCACTACCCACAAAATACTTAATTTTGATTCTCAATTTCACACAAGTTGAAACTCGCCAAATTGCGATCCGTATCGCGGTTTCGGCTGAAATTAAGAGTAGTGCCTAAATTGCGCAATTTGGGGTCGGTCGTGGAAACACTATTAACTATTAAGTGAGTTCCGCGTATGAAGCTTACTACCTTGTATACGAGTATAGGAGCATAATTTGGCATATTTATTTTCCATTATTTTGCCAACAATTTACTTAAGTATCTATCTTCTACCGCAAGAAATTCGATCGAATTTTTAAATTGCAATGCCTCGTCTGTATGAGCATTTATAAATCGCCAGTAAGTTAAACAACTATCTATGTATGCATGTACATATTTAGATACACAATTTCGTATATCTTTCATGGCAAAAAAACTATTAACATTTTTATTTCCTTCTTCGGCATTGCGAAATTCCCAAAAGAAAATTGCTAAAGACTACCAGAAGCAGTTTATAGATCACCCCATTCGCTAACGCGAAAATTGCCTCAATTAACGTTTGAATTCGTCATGCATTTGTCGTTTAGCGGTAAAAGTGGCTGTGAAAATATGTATGTACATATGTACATTAAGATGTCTCACCAGAAAAAAGTCGTGGTTTTTGCTTCGGAATTATAAAATGTATTATATGTTGTATCTGGAAATACTATTGAGGTTTAGTTGAGCTGTACCTGATTTGAAAAGACCTCCAAAAATCCTGTTTTTTATAAATAAAATTAGTTTTTTAAAGTGATTTGTTCAAAAAATCACCTCGGTTGATGAAAGAGTTTAGACTTGAAAGATCTGCATTTTATCAAAGGAATCAAAATAATGCGGTTTTTAAGGTATTTTCAAGTTTCAAAATATTTTGGCGCAAGTTTTAAAATATAACAAATTTTATAATTCCGATGGAAAACGGCCGACGGTACTATTTTTTTTTTTGTATGGAGAGTGTTGCACCCTAATGTGCGTACGTCAGTAAAAGCGCAATCAGCAAGACAATGCTGACGAGTAACGCGTGGAACGCAAATGTGCTGCATGAAAACTTTTTAGGTATTTCCTGCTGCTGGGGCAGCTTTTGGGCAAAGTTGTTGCAACAACATACGAGCAGATAGATATTTGCTTAAATACATGTTCATATGTGGAGTATACTTATTGCTGGCTGAGGAAAGCAAAAAAATATAAAAATAAAACTAAAGTAACAAAGACATAATTTCGCGATTTTTTAAGCACTCGTACATTTTTATGTATACAGATAGTATTTATGTGATATACATAGATACATACGTATGTATGTAGGTATGTGTGCCTTACAAAACTTATATCACCTTCATCTATCTATTCGACTGCCAAGTAGGAAATAAATTTTTACATTTTCACTCTCGACAAATAACATGATTTTTCGTTTATTTACTTTTGTTGTTGTTTTTTTTCTGTATATTTCTTTCTTTAACACACATACATGCAATTTCATAGGCCTGCATGCATACTTTTTGCTACGTACATACTACATAGTTATTTACAAATTATGAAATACCGAAAATAGAGTGGCGAATAAATCAGCTATGAGAATGTATGTATGTGTATATATGTACATATTTATGTTTATATAAAAGCAAACTAAAGAAAGAGTAATAGAGGCGAGTAATGAAAAAATAGGAGCAATTAAAATTTAATAGACCAGAATAAAATCGTCAAAAATATACATATATATATAATTAAAATTAAATCATGTCAGGTAAAATGAAATTTGTACATATGGACAAACGCGCGTGCGCTACTAAATATAATGCTAGAAACAAAAAAAAAAAAATAATAATAACAAAACAAAAATAAAGCTTACATAAGTGTGTATGTTGTATGTACATATGTATGTATGTATGTGTGTATGCATTAACATAACATATAACTAAAACTGTAACTAGAGCATTGCCACTGGCAATACGTCCCTCTCTGTGGGTGAGCGCCCAACTCCCCCCTTAATACCAGCCGCCCTTGTGGTAGTCATGATGATCTTCCTCAATGTGATGATGTTCCTGCTCGTGATGTACATGCACTGGCACGTGCACCTCCTTAATCACTGGCACATGCACTTCCTTATAGATTGGTACATGCTTGATCACTTCCACCTCCTTGATGACCTCCTTGACGACGGGCACCTTCTTGATGTGGTGATGGTGAATGGTGTGCACCTTGTAGGGTACATGGATGGTGTGGTGTTCGCTGTGGTAAGAGAGTGGGGTAAGAGAGTCGATTAGTGAGCAGTAGGCAATTAATGCAAAAGAAGGATATATGCAAAAATAGAGCAAAGCTTTCAAGGAGTCAGCAAAAAAAACGCTTCGACTTTTTTTAGTTTGATTATCTGATGAAATGTTTTAATTACACAGCTCAACAAAATTTGGTCGTATTTTATCTTAAAAACGGGCCGACCTCATCTTATAGGTTTTGTGATGCCGATTTGAAGTGCATTTGCAAAATTTTTCAAGCACGTCCACGTTTGAGAAAAAAAACTGCTGAAATGACGAAAAATGGCAAAATTGAAAAAAATAAAAAATGAAATAGAGTTTGGATGTAGTTTTTCAGAAAAAAATCACCACGTATTAATGAAACCCCAATTCATCTGATGGATTCTACGTCGTGACGATGAGTTGAGTTAGCTATTAGTGAAAATTAAAAAAAGAAATTGTTGAACCGTGTTTTTTATTTTAGATCATTGAAACATTTTTTGGTATTTTTATTTTTCGTTAAAAAAAAACTCGTTATTTTGGATTTTATTTTTAGAATTTTTAACGGACAGCATTATTATGACTGTTTGGAAGTTTTTTTATCTAAAAAAAAATTGGATTTAAAAATAACTATTGATCGAAAAAATTAAAATTAGAAATCATAAAGGAACGTTTAAATTTGAATGGTTTTAATAGTAATGCTCTTTTCTCTCAACTATTTGTAGGGAAGTGCAAAAAGAAAAACGAATGTACAGTAAAACTCTCTTAATTATCCTCATTTTCGTTGTTGGTGTTTCCTCTTAATTACTTCACCCAAAAATGCTATCTTTCGGTTTAAGCAGGTTTCACTATGTATGAACCATTTAAAGTAAAAACAGAATATTTTTTTTTTTAAGGAGAGAAAGTTGGTACGGGTACAGCAGGCCTTCGTTATCGAAATTTATGGATAACTTGGGACCACTCCTACTCTCGTACTTAACGGCATGCTTAACATACTGTCCGTTGACATAGTAGGCAAGGCTGCAACGGTAAGAACTGCGGACACTTGGGGGCGGGGGCTGCTTAATAGGTTCAGGATCTGGAGTTCTAGTATTTTTGGAAGTTTTGTTGTTATTATTGTTAACACGGATCACTGCGTGGGTAGACGGCTACCAATGACCACTTTCTCAACTTTTTCCTATGAATGAATGTACGGGAAGTAGAAGTTGAAAGGAGGCACACAATTCCGGTCATTTTAAACTAAACAGAACCTGATAATCTAAAAACTGGACATACATTTTTGTTAATTTAAGAAGTGGCGTAGACAAATAGATATAATCTTTTGTCTTAGAAAGATGGATAAAATGGATAAAAAAATGGAAGGGTAAAAAGTTGACAAGTAAAACTGTACAATAAGTAGCCACTTTGCCTGGCTTCGGAATTTTTGTCTTTGAGGGTAAGAATTACTCTAAAAACACTGGCAAAACCAAGTCCCTATAGAGAAGGTCGAAACTTAGGAAAGGTCGATACCGGCGGAGGAAAGGCGGATGTCCGGTCTAGTGGCAGGGCTCTTATTTAAATTCAGAACAAGAAAAGAGCTCAGCAAACAACTCGGCTTAAAATACCAGGCATATTCTTGAAGAAAGAAGTTAATATTGACCTTGTACTCTGGGCCTGTTTTGGAGCCATCAGTAAAGTTCCAGCCTCTGGGAACTCAACATTGTAGTATCTCTTCTGGAAAGACAATGGTGGCATACTAACCTGTGCCATTGAAAAAAACTTTTAGATCACTGCCTCCAGCAATTTCCGCCTTACTCCACACTGAATCAAACCAGCACCCATTTTTTAAGCCTACAAGTGGCCTTACGAGCCTGCTATGGTGAGAACATACAAATAAAGTGTAGTGTTCTGATAGATAATTGATACATTTCTTTCATTTACTTTTTTAAAAGGAATGCTTCTTTCTCTATTTATTTCAAGAATCAGTCGTTATTATTACCAGCTTTCTGGTAAAAATTATACCTACGTAATTGGTAAAACAATACATTCATTACACACAATCAAATTGGAAGCAAATAAAAAGTGAAAACTGTTAAATTATTCCGCAGTTGGTTTGTCTGTTGCCGCATTCACAACAATAAAGTTGACAATTTACACAAGACTGAGAGTTACGCATGCG